TGCTGTACTCGGCTGTAGTTTAGCATAACGTTAGCATTTTGCTTCTGGCGATTAGATTTATGATTAGAAAATTATAAAAGTAGGGTAGACATGTGGATAATATCCACATGTCTACCCTACTTTTATAATTTTCTAATCATAAATCTAATCGCCAGAAGCAAAATGCTAACGTTATGCTAAACTACAGCCGAGTACAGCAGGGACTTCAACGTCACGCCAACTTAAGATCGATATTCAAAAATACAGATTAATAAGGGTACAAGCTGAAGCGTTTGTTTTAACAGTTTGCAGGAGGCAGGTACTTTCTTTCAAGCAGAACAGGGCAAACAAACTTAGAGGAGTGTTTACGTGTTCGGCGTAATGACATACAGTACAACGTCCTCGACAACTTCTGTAGTCCTAATCAGCCACTTGTTAACAACCATCGTTTTTCAGACACGTACACTCTTCAAAAATCACCAGTGGGGTCACTGCTGATGTATTTAATGTCGTAGAACAAAGCGTGATCCGTCTCTTAAATTTGTGTCAACCGCAGACCTTATTTCCAGCTATTATTTTTGAACTCCCATTAGCCGCTTTCACACCAAGTACTTAGTTCCCAGCACTTAGTTCCCAGCACTTAGTTCCCAGCACTTAGTGCCCCCATGGAACTAAGAGCCGATCGCGTTCACACGGGAATAAGTCCCTGAGGGAAGATTACGCAAATGAAGCCGCTGACGTCACTTCTTCTTCTTCTGCTTTGGGTTTACTGGCAGGCCGCAAACAACTTCACAGCGTATACTGCCACCCGAAGTCCCCGGCCGGAAGTCCCCCGGAAAACACCGACACCTCCTCATCCCATGTTTTTTAGTTATTCTCTCTCCGTTGGTGCCCTGGGGGACTAATGCTAATGCTAATAATGCTAATGCAAGCAAATACAATGGCGGCTTCACAAAACCTTTCAGAGTTTTACGGGGCGTGGTTAGCATTTGCCCAGCCAATCAGAAATTGGAACTTTTTTCTCCCCAGGAAAGTACCTGCTCTCTAGCAGGGACTGAAAAGGGGTGAAAAGTTCTCATGAACTAAGTTCTCTTTTTGGTGTGAACGCAAAATCCCAGGAACTATCGGAACTGAAAGGGAAAAGTACAGGGAAAAGTACTCCGTTGTGAAAGCGCCTATTGACTCTGAGACGAGGGAACCCATAGTGCTAAAATCCTAACTCACTTCCGGGTTGCAGTACTCGTCACTGGACCACTCTATTGGACTCCTTTGTTTACTTCTGTAACATAATTACAACACTATGTAACGACAAAATGATCAGCTCACAATGAGTCCTGGGCATCCTACACACTTTTTTCTATTTACAATATTTTTTTCCATTTATATGTTCTGTGTGCAATTAAAGTGGACAAAATCAATGCAAAAATCTTCAATACAATGTAGACCACACCACAAACTAGTCAGTTTAAAAAACAGCTGGACCTGATCATTATAAGAAAACTAAAAAAACCTGTATCCCTCTATAATATTCATGTGATATGGACATTTTACATTGCCTCTGCAAGTCCTCTGCAGAGCCCATGTGGTGAAATATTTTCGACTTGAAATTAAATATATAAGCAACAAATACAATTGTTTTAGACCTCTGATTTATTTTCAAAACTTATTATAAATCAGGACTTTTAGTATAGTCAAGCTTAATAAAATTAGAGGCTTTAAAATGTGGCAGTGGCTATGTTCTCCACTACTGCATTTAGTGACCTAGTTTATTCACTTTTTTTTTTTTCACATTATAATGTAAACACTTAGCAGAGCACAGTAGAAAAGCCTCAAAAACGATGATAATACAAAAATGAATGTCAGGAATTGCTGATCATGTCTCCAATAAACCCTGATGCTGCTTAAAGATGACAAGATTTAGACCCTTTAGCATTTTGGATCTTCAACAAACAGCTTTATAACTCTTAAATGGTTTCTGGATCCTTGGGGATACAGTCATTTCACAGGCTGTGTCTATTTGTACAATATGTGTAATAACAGTGTAATTACGATGTAATATGGGTGTAATATTGGTCTAATCACAATGTAATTACGATGTAATATGGGTGTAATATTGGTCCAATCACAATGTTAATACGATGTAATATGGTTGTAATATTGGTGTTACATGGGTCTCATATTGGTGTAATAACTGTCCCATATGGCTGAAATAACAGTGTCAAAAGGGTTTAATTAGTAATACAAGTGCAATAAGGGTGAAACATGCTGTTTACCATGGGGCTCTGAGGTTCATTACCAACTATAAACCCCTCACACACCATTGCACGCTGTACGCTTTAGTCAACTGGACATCATTATCAATGCGCAGATCACTGCACTGGTACAAACTCATCTATACCGCTATGCTTGGACTGCTGCCCCTCTACATATCACACAAACAGTACAGCTATAGACTACGATCTCAAAATTACATCACTCTGTCAGTCCCCTCAGTACGCACGGTGCTTGGGAAAAAGGCCATATCATACTCTGCTCCCTCGACCTGGAACACACTTCAGCAGGAACTTAAGCTGACCAGTTTGATACCCATCACTGATTTTAAACTCATTTTAAAAAAGCTGGAGAAATCATCTGTGGGTGTTTGCACCTGCTATATCTGACTGTATATGGATTTTAATGACTACTTTTTTTTCCTTTTTTTTTACGATGTTGTATTTTAGTGTTGCCTCTGTGTTTAGTGTCCTGTCTGTCTGTAACTTTGTGTGGTAGTGTTACCACTGACAGGTCTCTCTTGAAAATGAGACCTTGTGTCTCAATGAGATCTAAACCTGTATAAATAAAGGCTAAATAAAAGTAAATAAATAAAGGAGTCATATTGGTGTAACAGGCATGCAGTGGGGGAGTATTAATGTGTAAAATATGTGTAAAGATTTTTCTGGATGAGTAGTTGGCATTGAGGTGAAAGCAGGTCTTTCAGTAGATTACTATACCATCATAACTTCAGGATAAGCTGTGTGTGTGTGTGTGTGTGTGTGTGTGTGTGTGTGCGTGCGTGCGTGCGTGCGTGCGTGCGTGCGTGCGTGCGTGTGTGTGTGTTTGTTTGTGTGTGTCTCTCTCCCTTTCCCCCTGATTGTCTCCCTCCAGGTGCAGCCTCTTCCTCAGGTGCTCCCAACCCCTCCATAAAGGACCTGAGAAAGGCGGCAGTCGCTCTCTTCCTTCTCGTCTGGCTGCATGTGTGACATGTGCAGCATGTGTCATGTCTTTGTGTGGGACCTGTTAGTAGTGATGGCGAGTTGAAGCCTAAAGCCTCTTAAGGCCCGGACACACCAGGCCGATTATCGGCGTCGGTGGGCGTCAGGCCGGCGATGAGCGTTGACACGCCCTACTCAGATTGGTGTGTCCCGCACCGTTGGTTCTTTTAAGCCGGGCCGACGCCTTTTCGGCCGAAAACCCACCAATTCAACATGTTGAATCGGCGGGCAGTCGGTCAAAGGCAGTCAGCAAAAGAAATCACTCTGATTGGCTGTTCAGCTTAGCGAATCAGTGCATGAGAAGCGAAACGGATGTGAGGGACCCAAACAAACTATTAAGAAGGCAAATCTGAGATTTCATTTAACTAATTCAAGCCCCGTGAGCTTCTCGCTGTAGAGTGAAAATGGAACACACACGCTATTTGTTGTTTGTTTATATCAGCAGTCTGTTCTTCTTCTCTCGGTGTATCACGCAGTCTGTCTTCCAGTTGTTGCCTCTTTTGAATGACGAATACACACTACCGCCGCCTGCTGGTAAGGAGAGTTATTGCCACTCACGCATGCGCAGTTCGTACGTGCAACTTGGCCGTCGGCTGAAGTCTTTGCGGTGTGTTCCAGTGCGAAACATGGCCAAAGACGCAGGTGCAAGGCTGTAGCTTTTATAAACAAGAAAAAAGACGCATTGTTCAGTAGAACCCAGGGACCCTGCGGTTTGAGTCAACTGCTTTCCAGCTGAGCCACAGCCCCACCACACTGAATCTTCCCGAAAAAACTGGGAAGATAAAATACTATTTATTCCGTATTTATTAATTAATTTAATTCCTACATTATTATACTTATGGACATGTTCCGACCTATAAGTTGGGTCTGAGCTCTCCTTAATTCCATCGTGCCACCAGGCCCGGGTACAGGAGGGGTAATATCGTGTATTATACATCCATGAGTAATATGACCGTTGTGGTTCAACTGATCTAAAGCACTTCTGAAGCAGTCACTTGGGATTGAGGAGCAGGCAAGCTCGGTTTGTCATCGATGGACGTCCACTGGTCCCCAAAACGATACCACAGCCTCGATACAAAAGCTTCGACCAAAAAGCCTTCGGGGATACTCGACACACGCTCCTGAAGCCTCGGCGCAATACGTACACATTCCTACCTGTTAGGTTGACCTGTATTTGGCTTCATTGTTAGATGTGCTCCAGTTTACCCTTTGTGTATTGGTTTTAATTAGTCAACCTTTCTTTCAGAAGGAAGTTGTCTTAGTTACCTTAAAGGACCTATCATGCCAAATGCACTTTTGTACGGTCTTTTATACATGAATATGTGTCCCTGGTGTGGTCAGGGAACTCCCACCAAGGTCAGGGAAAACCACAACCCCTCTCTCTTTCCTCCATACCCAAAATCTTCTAAAACGGGGC